CTCTCTCTCTCTCTCTCTCTCTCTCTCTCTCTCACTCGCGCGCGCGCACACACACACACACACACACACACGCACACGCACACAGAGAAAACTCACACACACACACACACGGGTTTAGTATTGTGATCTGTTATTTTTGCGTTTCTCATTCGAGATCACCGTACGATGTTGCACTATTAATTATTATGAGACTAGGGTGTGCGTGTTATCACCCCTACTTTTCATCTTAAAATTATACATAGACATAATCACGAAAGAAGCAAACCCCCACCCCAAAGACCTGAATGAGATACTGTTATTGCGGATGACCAAAGCCAACCAAAGCCCGATGAGAAAGAAAAGCAGCTTCAGGAGCACCTAGCCTAGACAAGCTGAACACATAGTGTGAAATGAAAATCAGCTTTAAGCAAAACTGAGATGATCGAATGCCAGCAGAACACCTGGCAACCTTAACATCAGCATCGAAGAACTCCGCTGAAACAAGTCAGCGAGTTCAAGTATCTTGGCAGTATATCCTCTCGGAAGACGGGGGTCTCAACAGAGAAATTGAGACTAGAGTACAACGTCATAAGGCTTGCAGCGTCAGCTATCAGCTTGTCGCACTCCTCAAACATCACAACATTCCCATTGAGACAAAGCTAGATCTAATCTCTATCTTCATCCCCATCTTGACTTACCAATACATGTACCAGACATGAACTTTGACCTAGGACTTTGAACAAAAGTCTGGAGCGTGAGATAACCACCTGCAAGATGATAATATGTCTAAAGAGAGCCGTCAACAAAACCAGACAGGATATGAACAGAAGTAATGTAACAAGATATATAAGAGTCGTTCAGAGGCAAGCAATCAAGTTGTTCGGTCATGTGACACGTATGGCACCTTCACCAGCTTTCCAGTAAAGCGTAGGTACTACAAATACAAAAGAATAATAATATTATCAGGGTGGGCTACAAAGTCAGAGGAAGACCAAGGAAAACCTGGATCGGGGGTGTGAAAGATACCCAGAAAGCACACAGCATTCCACCCAGCCTGCCCATCCAGCTTGCTTGAGACAGAAAGATGTCTCTCCCCGCGACGCCACAAAGGTACTAGAGGAGAGATAAAGTAAGTAAAGTCTTGGTTAACTAACTAATCTGTCCTACTCCTATATCATATAATGTATAAATCAATATCAGAATTGTGTTGGCTGAACTTGTCGTAAGTCAAGCGAATTTATAACACACACACACACACACACACACACACACACA